TATACATAGATCGTTCAATTTTTTTAAGATAGATCTAGATGTCCAAGAACTCAAATTTTCTTTTATTTTTCGTGAAAATTCTCATTTTAAATTAGATCTACAGAAATTCAGATTGAGAAAATTCTCCTAATTTAATCAACTGCCCGAAGAGAGTTGATGGAATTTTTATGGTCGCAGGGGAGCTAGAGTATGAAATATGTATATATTATTAGAGCATGTATACCATGCTCTCACGGGAGCATATTTTATTTCTACTCTTTCAGTCAAACTACCTCTTTGGGAGGATTTTTTCAATCTTAAAAATTGATTATTCTACTCCGTAAGGCTACAAGAATATGAGGAAGAGAGGTATTTATGCTTTGGGAAAAGTTTATGTAGAGTTCAAGCCTTAAACAATCAAATTAGAGCATGCCTAAAAAATTTCATTAGAAGAAGTTGTTTTGATGCTCAAATATCCTCAAATTGATTATCTCGATATCAAGATGTATGGACATCAGAAAAAAAAATAAAAAATAAAATCTGGATTTCAAGTTTTGGAAATAGTGCATCTTGTAACGTATTTTTGGATCGTCAATTTTCAAGATTTTCCAAGTTTTCATGGATACATGCGATCTACACTATTTTTAAAGCTTTTAAATTTTATAATTAAAGATGAAAATATATTTTAAGATTATCACAAAGATTTTCAACATTGAAATCACATTTCTCAACACTATTTAAAGGTATGCTTTATTGTGATTGTTTAGAGCCTCATCTCCATACAAACCGCACTGGCTTTGGGAAAATATGCCTTAAGTTATTTCTTTGTTCAGATTGAAGTCTAATTTTAGGGTAGAATGCATGCCATTTCGGGGAGGGAAAGGACTTCCTTACTTATCTTCAATACTAGTCTTTATGAACAGTAGTTTGTTGCCCTGGTTTTTTTGTCCTGTTCATCACCTTGTAAGATTGCAAATGACATTATATTATTATTTTAAAATGCAAGAGAAAACCATTTTAAGAAGTTATAACGTGACTTATTTGGCCAACCACATTTTCACCAATCTATGCAATGTTTTTTTTTAACCATACCAAAGCTATCAAATTTTATATCGGATGGTTATACGTAAGTGTGATTTTCTTGTCCATCCACATATATAAATACACCAAAATGGCACAAAAGAATTTTTCTATCAACAAAATTCAATAATTGTTTTTTTTTTTAAATATATATTAATAATTGGGTTTATTAGGATATTGCTTTTAATAGAGCATAATGGAGAACTATGATTCATGTAGCCGAGCTCAATTAATTGGAAAAATGTTAAAATGATGATAATGATTAGTAATTAGGTTTATTATTTCTATCTACAGAGATAACTAGCCACTTTGGTATATGGAAACCAGTGTTTAAAAAAACGCCGAGTCGAACTGGACTCGCGCGGTTCGACTCGAGAATCGCCATGGGGGGATTGAATCGGTTTAAAAAACGGGAATCATCCGGTTCTAGAGAGAACCGGACGATTCTGCACAGTGACTCGCCGATTCACTGTACGGAATCGGCAAGTCCGTGAAGAACACGGGTTGCACAGTGTTCTTCACGGGATTCTTCGAAATTTGGCATGTGATCTAATTTGCAAGCTGTAAACACCTTTATTCAGCTTTTACACGGATTAAATGGTTGAAAATTTTGATGTTTTTGGATCACGAAACTTGCATTTTTAGGGTTTCCG